TTGATCTTTTATAGGCTTGCGTCTACCTCCACTACAAAGATTCTATTGAATACAATTGTATAATACTACATTAAAATTAGATTAAAAGGCGAATTAGACGCAAGGTTAGACAATGTCTTTTATATTACATGATATACACTCTGCTAATATCTGCAATACTATGTTTCCGAGGCTCCAGGACATTGGTAACATTGAAATATCGAATGCAGTTGGGGCAGTTGGCAGTATTGATTATAGATGCACTCAAATATGAACATTGAATATTTTAATACTGGGTCCTGTTTTAACAACAAACTTTTAAAGAACTTTTATCTAATTTTAATGTAGTATAATACAATTGTATTTAATAAAGTTCCTTTTATTTTTAATATCCAATACTATCATTCTCAACAATTATAAAACCAAGTATATTAAAGGCAATATAAGACATTGTCTCACCTTGCGTGTATATAAAATCACCCTCGCATTTTTAATAGCATTATTATATGTCCTCCTGCCTTTCGAGTTTCGACCGCAGTTTGTACCGTCAGATAAACGCTAATCCCAATTTCATATCTCATTCAGTCGAGGAAATGTGCATTCTTTTAGCCTCGACATGAAATGCATGTCTTTGTGCAAACATGCCTTTGACAATTGACGAGACGGCTCCGTTCTGGCTCGCTTCAATTTATCCAAATCTATCCAATGTTTCCTTCTCCTTAATGACTGCAGCCGAAAATCTACATAATATGGTATTGGATGTAGAACTATTTGATTTGTAGCATCTGTTGTGTTAGAACAGTCGTATACAAGATATCTAACAGGCATTTCGAAGCGCAAAGTATACAAATTTTCATTGCACACAATAGATATTTATTGTAATACAACATGAGTCGATTCACTTCCGTTCCCGGTGTGACATCACAAACCTGATTCGTACTCAGCCTCTTTTCTCCCGGCCATGTCTTGAAAAACCCTATTTTTTTGCCTGTTTGATCTAAATTATCTCTGGAAGTATTTATCCGATCAAGGAATGATATATATCATTCGAATTGTCTAATTTTTGCTGATTTTTGGTGAAAAAATGGTATTAATGTTATTTGCACTTTAATGAAATAACTTAGTCATTGCCACATTTGCTATAGTGCCTGGAACGAAAACAAGTCAGAAAAATTCTTAAACGTGCTGCAGCACTTTGTACAAATTAACCCGCGCGCACGAAGTGCAGAAAAACATCAGATACAAATCTTAATCTCAAATTTCAGTCTCTTTGGCAAAACAATATTGAAGTCATGAATATAGCAAATGTGCTGTTTCTATGCGCAATACAGTATAATATTACCACGTTTATACAGTGTAATAGGTTTATTTATTGAAATATAGTTATATAATATCAAGAGCTGTTCTCTACAAATCCTACAAAGTCTTCATCAACAGCAGGAATTCTTTTCTCATATGCGCAAAAATGTCTATTTCCTAGTTGTCCATAAACCATCCACACAAAGTTTCTATACGCTGTGCTCCTTCAGAATCTATATATAAATTAATAAATAAGTATTTTTAATAAGTCGCTTACTTGCATGTGGACACATGTAAATATATAATAATTCAATAATTGTACAGTATGTACCTTATAATATAAACTCTCAGTTACCGTACCGCATGCGTGTGTTCACTGATAGGAAACTCGGGTTCGGTAAAGTGTTTCTTAATTTCAATATGTTGATAAATAAAACTTTATTTACCTATCTTCTGTCCTTGTTTGACGGTATTCCTGTTTCTTTCTTGTTCGTAATTTCGTGGCTGCTGAACGGAGAGCTCACTTATCTAGCCATAGCTGTTGAATTATACATCATGGCGCGACTTCAGCTTCCTGCATCACAAATCACAATGTCATTGTGTAGAGAATCGACGCACTCCTCAATTTCCATACAACATTGACACTTTAGCATAATTTACGAAGCTGTTCAATGCGACAATTGCCACGTTTACACATGAAATATTATAGTTTGTAATTTACAACACAAGGTCAAGTCACGCAACAAAATCAGAGTGAAATATTTACCATTTTCTCAATTCTTCTGAATTATCAAGCCTTTGTAGTAATTGCTTAAGACGTTCGTTGTGATTGCTTTTTTCGCGGTAACGTTTGAGCCATCTTCGTCGGTCACTGCATGGTTCATTAACATATGGACAAGCAGCGCCGATCATTTGTGCGCACGACGTTGACCACGCTTCACTGGTGTTTTTATCGATTTCACTCGATTTGATACGGCCCAGGAATAAAATTTCAGGCAGTCATCGCTTTGGAAACTGTTATTCTCCGTATCTGAACTCGACGAAGACATTTGTATCGAATTTTGACCAGCTTGATTGTGATTCTCACTTAGTATTTATATACTTTTCACTTAGGCGAGGAGGCAATGTCTTCCTACTATGACGTATTAGTTACCAATTTCCCAGCTTCGCGGTTTTCAAAAACTTTTGCTGTTAAAATTTGAAATTTCATTGCCTTATTACTCTGTGAAAACAAGCTCAATTTTAAATCTATTTTGTATTTTCATAATCTACGTTTCAAGACGATTCTAATGATGTAAACTCTCATTTTGTGACAAGGGCACTTTAAAACAAACAATAATACTAACCTTCGACAAATGTGTATAAATCTCATCGAATTTGACCATTTTGCCACAGATATGGCCAAAAATATTTCTAAGACGGAAAAAGTAATAATCAGACACTCCTTGCGTGAAAATGTTAATTTATCCCAAAGTTTGAATAAATTAATCCAAGATTGCATTATTTGCATAATAATATACTTGTCATTGACCAATCAGAATACATGGAAGACCGGCCGGTGCCAGGGCATTTTCCCGCCTTCCCAATGACAAAAAGGGAAAAGCCCTGGGAACGAGGTTTTTTCCATGTGCAGATTTACTGGGAAGGGGTTTAACCCCCCCCCCCAAGAATCTCTTTAACCCCTCTTATTAAGTGTTCAACCCTACCAATATTTTGCTTCACCCCTCCTATTTTGTGTGAAACTCTTTAACACCAACACGTAACCCCTGCTGAAGCTCGCTCAGTGGTGCCTCTTTAAATTTTTCCACCCTCCTTTTAAAAACAATGTAAATTTGCCCCTGGTTCAAACAATTAACAGTACCTTATGTTCAGTATTTGCTCTAGCTATCTTGTATATGGTATTGACTATTGATATATAGCATGTGCATTCCTGGTAATTGAAAGACTTGAAAATGTGGCTGAAACTTTTCAAACTCACAGTACTGTTGGAAACTATTCTACTTAAATATTAATTAAGATGGAAACACTGGAAGCATTACTGAATTATGAAACCTAATTGTACAAATTGAATAGAGATGCCATCCTTTTCCCCCTACTTTTTATCATAAAAAGTGATTATATTTTTCTGCTTTGTCCACACATTTTTATTAAATAAACAAGAAATAGGAAAAGTATGATGGCAGGAATGTTTGTGACATGTACAACAGCATATTATATTACTGGTAAAACAGGTAATGAGCAATGTAAATATAGATTTCATGTTAGAGTTCAATGTAAATAGTATAGAATGTGTTCAAAAAGCATGAAGTATATTGTTGCATCGGATTATGGAACTTGAGAAGTGTGAAAAATTGGTGTTTTACTGGCTGAATATTATGCAGTACCCTTACAGTACATGCAAAACACAGCTGGCAGCCTAATTTCCAATTTTAACTAATGATTTTCTAATCATAATACAACATAGAAGCAACAACTACCATTGTAGCAAAGCGAAACACAAAAATCAGGGCTTCAAATTTGAATTTTCCAGCAGTATCCAACAGGATACCAGCAACTTAAAATCTGGTATTCCACCCAGAAAATCTAGTATCCCACATTTGATTAACAAACTATTTTCACATGAGCAAATTAAACAACATTTTGTATTCATAAATGCTAATTGTTAATATAGCTGATTCAATCAAGGTGTTAGCTACAGTAAAAAATTCCGCGTTAAACGCGGTTTTCCCAATTACCTTCAGGTCGCAATTTCCCAATTTGGGTCAGCCAAAAAATAATTATAGAAATTCAATGTTGTTAATAAGCCATTAAAAACATGATTATAACTACATTTGCTCACAATCACTCCCAAAATGCAGAAAATGCCATTTCAAAGACACAAAAATATTAAAAGTCGAGAGGGGGCAACCGCATGCACCCAGACCCACAAAGAAATGCCCGGCTTCAGGCTAAAATATATTTCCCAATTTCAGGTAAACGCGGATTTTTTTTACTTCTGGCTAACACTCTGTCAATTAAGATTGTCCTTCTGATACCTTATACCTTTAACTGTGAGCGAACATGGGATGATGGGTTTTCACTTATTAGACCCTTAATTAATTAAACTCAGAAAATTGTCTTTGCGGCAAGTATTTTTTTTTGTCGTGAGTCTTCTATATGTCTTAGGTATTCTCGCAAAACCAAATATTTTCATAGTTTGAATCTAAATAAGCAATAACACATCATCCCTTGCACGCTCAGAGTTTAAGGTTAAATTTTTGGAAGGACAACCTTAATTGAATTAGCTGTATATTATTATAGCAATCAAATTTGAATAAAGTGAAAGGACCTAGGAACCTGGCTAACAGGCTAAGTCTTGATGATTAAAATAAGACCAGAATCCAAAAAATATAATATAGATAATATATTTAAAGTTTATAAACATGAAAAAAAGGATATTGACATAGCGTATTTATATTGTTCTGTCTACATGTTTATGACGTGTCCGAACTTTGTTTCAAATCCTTTCTTAGCCCTTTCTTTTTGTTCTGCTTCTCTTTTATTCTATATCGGGAGATATAGTCTCTGGCACATGAGAATGATCTCACCTTCAAATACAGTTTGACAATGTTTTCAAGGCATAACTTCTGGGTATCACCTGATAGATTGACACCAGATGACATAACAATATTTTGCCATAATTACTTGACAGTTGGTAAGGAAAGGGTGGAATAGCAGATTACATCGACAGGAATGTTTCGAATAGCCAGCTTTGACTTGTCAACTTCCTTTCTGAAACAAATCTCTGCTTCATGTAAAATTCTTACAATATCCTCACAAAGTGTTACAAGACCACCTTTTGTTCGGGCTAAAATGTAACTGTTGTTTTTTTGTTCTGATTTTAAATTCTGTAACAAGTCTTGAAGTTCATTGTTTTTCTCTTTAGACTTTGATGCTCTACTTAACTTTGAAATTACATACCCTGAATATGGGAGAGAGGACCATGTTCGCTTGGCTCAATTTTGTATTTAGGTGAAGATTCTGTGTCTCTTTCTTGGGGAACATTTTGCACGTTTAAAAATCCAACCAAATGATCGGGTATGTGGATCATGACAAGGTTTGCAACTCGCGAATCCGTACAGTTCAGTAATTCCGCGGACTTTGGCATTAACCCATAAAACGACTGGAGAAGTTTATCTTGATTTCGGCTTCGAGAAAATTTTGTGTATAAAGGCAACACTTCGTCGAACAATTCTTTGATCGCTATAGCCTTTTCCACCGCAGCATTTATATTTTCCCCGTACAGCTTCCTTTAACAATGTTTTCTTTTATTGTATCCACAATCGAAGTTATGGACTCATAACAAAGCGGTGTTGTAGTCGAAGGAATTGAAACACTATCGCCATGTTTCGAATTAGTGTGCCTGGTCAATCCGCCTTTTGACTTGCATATTTTGCTGCATTTTGAACAGGGAAACGATTTCAAGCCTTCAATTTCTGTCACAGCTTCTGAAAATTTATTTTCTACTCCTTGATCGTCAGTTCCTATGAGTTCAAGAGCAATATCTATGTTGTAGAATACACGTGCGTCGGGCATGATATCCTCTTGTTCACTCCTCGTTGGAAACACAGGCACAAAATCGCGTGTTTCTTCCGGTTCTTCGTCTGAATCTTGCTCCAAAACCTCCCTCATGTCCTTCCTGTAATTTCTCTTCCGCATCCATGACACAAGTTTCATGCAAAAAAATATATCGCAATCTGTTGAAACAGCTGGAAACCTATGTAATCCTATACTATTTGTAGGAGATGCACACTATCAGTCACGTGATTATTTTGTTCTTTGACGCGCAACATATTTGCCGCCCCCCTTTGAAGTTTGCCCGCTCTCCAAACCATCTCATTCTATTAACTGTGGTTTAATCTAATTAAATTGAAAAATCCTCAGGAATCTTATAAAATCTTATAAAACCTTCAGAAAGGCTTCACCGATTTCTCAGTTTAATTAAATTGTTAATCCCTTACAAAAATTCTACATGATTTCACATCAGTGAAATTTCACATGTGAATTTGGAACATGTGATTTTACACATGTGAAATTTCACATCTGAAATTATGTTTCACATGTTCCAAATTCACATGTGAAACTTCACATGTGAAATTTCACATGTGAAGTTTCACATGTGAAACATATAATTTCACATGTGTTCACATGTGAAAAATTACATGTTCCAAATTCACATGTGAAATTTCACATTTTTTAACTTCACATGTGAAACACATAATTCCACATGTGTTCACATGTGTTCACATGTGAAAAGTCACATGTTTCAAATTCACATGTTCCAAATTCACATGTGAAATTTCACAGGTGAAACTTCACATGTGAAACACATAATTTCACATGTGTTCACATGTGAAAAGTCACATGTTCCAAATTCGCATGTTCCAAATTCACATGTGAAATTTAACATGAGAAACTTTACATGTGAAACACATATTTTCACATGTGTTGACATGTCCAAATACACATGTGAAATATCACATGTTCCAGTTTCACATGTGAAATTATGCAAAGCTTCAATCATGCACATTTAAACCTGTCAAACAGTGAGATACTGTAATGGTATATATATATATATATATATATATATATATATATATATATATATATATATATATATATATATATATATATATATATATATATATATATATATATATATATACTGTAGGAAGTTTAAATAATTTATATATACAGTTAATATCTACAAATGTTTAGCTAACATACAAAATAATTTATAATAAAGGAAAAAACTTAGCAGTTCAAATGTCTTTGCAATTTTTCTTGTTTTTTTATCAGCATTTCTTTTGTCTTTGCACTTTTGGGCCATGCCAGCTTTCACTGATGAGGCTGTTGCTCCTGCAAAACGTTTAGTCACATGAGCTACAAGAAAGGAAATACAAGACTATCATTAGCTGTACATATTGTATTTCATGTACCGGTACTGGAACTCCACAGTCAGTTAACATTTATCATTTATAGACCTGGAGCGAGGGGGATTCGGCGAAATATTACCCGAAGTGATGATATTTCCCGAGGGGCTTTGCCCCGAGGGAAATATCATCACTGAGGGTAATATTTCGCCGAATCCCCCGAGCGGAAGGTCTATAAATGATATATTATACCGAAAATTAAAAGCCTCCAAGTTGACAATTAAAAACATGACACATACCTTCGTGAATACGATGTTTTATTTTCGGATTAACGCAAGTGTCGTCGCTTTTCTTTCGAATTACATGTCGTTTGGTATATTAATGACAAAGCCCCAGGTTTTAGGTTTGAAAAAGTACCGGGTTTTAGGTTTAAAATTGAATTATTCATCACTCATTAATACTATTTATGTTTTGTCGGCCATCTTGTTGTCATGCGTGCTGTCCCGCGTGGTGTACGCGAATAATGTTCCACCCCATGCAGAGCTTCCACTCGGAAGGAAATTTCCTTCCAAAAGGATATTTTGGCATTTGGAAGGAAAAATAAAAGGAAATAAGATTTGGAAGGAAATTGGAAGGAAATTCGGCCATTTCGAAGGAAAAGGGAAGGAAATTTTACAATTTAAACTTTTTCAGTAATTTCTAGTAATTTAATAATGATTAAACACTTTATTATGAACTTTTGAGTTCAAAAACATTTATAAAAATAATACTCCGGATATTTAAATAACCATCAAGGGTGAATGGGGGTAATTCGGGACTTAACAGGTCTTCAGTGAGTAAGTGAGTAGAGTACTTGTACATAAATAACGGGGGTTCAATTTTTTCGCAGGTTTTTAATTTTTATATCCCAAAATTAAAGAACAATTAAATAGTCGGAAAAAGGGAAACTGTAAATTTGTAAACCAAATTGTAAACCATTTTTATAAATTATGATGGCTCATATTGAGTCGACACCTAGTCAAGCTCATCAGAAGATGAAGCTTCAAGTACTTTTCAAATGCAAACGGTGTAGAAAGCGTGCAGGACAAGTGCCTTGTCCAAAAGCAAATTCATAAAAAAGTCGTTCAAGTACTATGTCGTTCGAGAAAACAGACAAAAAATGAGACAACAGAACATGTTTTTTCAGGTTAAATTAGAGATTCACTATTTGAATACTGCAGTACACCTTCAATTTACATCGGGAGTACAGTACAATACAAAATTTTCTATACTATTTTAAACTGACATTGGAAGGAAAAATGGAAGGAAATTTAAAATTTTGGGAAGGAAATTTTGCGAAAAAAAAGGACAAAAACGAGAAATTTTGCTTTGCCAAAGTGGAAGCACTGTTCAGGCACCCGACGACACCGTATGGGGGGCCTTTAGCACTGTCACCTTCTCATCTTGGGATGTTCACGTTATCGCGTGTACATGTCAGGGTGACGAAGATGCATTATTGCTAATAATGTCTGTGTGCACTGATGCACGCTGCATTATT